TCAGTGAAGCGGTTTTTACACTAGGGGTCACCCATTGTGCTGCACCGCAGTATTTCAACTTTTTTTCACACAGAAATAAGTTATTACACAGAAGGAGGACTAGAGAAGATCATTTGATTCCAACGGACGCCTTTCTGATCATGTTACATTGGACTACCTTTGGACCTGCTAGGGTCCACTGAAAATCCATGCATCTTGAACGGCTCGTTTTTTAGCTCAATTTTGCAAACTTTCAGCATTTGTTTGCTTTATTTAGCATCTTTATACGTTTTTTATGATAACAGTTCGGCGTTCCTGTTTGCGATTGGACGGTTGACAACATGGACCTTGAGAGCCGGCTCACCATCGAGAACATGTTGCACGAAGAGCGGTATCCTTTACTTCCTCAAACAGCAGGGGTTGAAGTCACTGATTAATTCCTGGGAAAAAAAGATTGAGAGATTCTGATGCCAGTCTGGTGATATCCAAGGCAAACAAGCCCTATTGTCTCGTGGTTTGTTTTTATTTTCCTGCCATTGACACCAGCGCTTAAAAATGCAAACCTAATACAGAGCTCTTGAGTGGTGTGTACAAAAAAAATTCTCAAGATTTGTTCCCTCAGTGGGAGTTGAATGAAAGCATTGCTATTTTGCCAACACATGGACTGAAGCCTCTGTAATGTTGTTTGTCTATTTCTTGAATTTGTTTATGCGAGTCCCAAACATAGCTTCTGTTTAGTACATCTCTTGAGTTCCCAGCGTGGTTTTTCCTTTGTAAGTTCAGAAGGAATGCTACTTGATAATTGGTTGACAGTTGGTTAACTGGCATACACTATGTCGGCCTCATAATATATCTTCCAGATGAATGGATAAAATAATTGAACCTTCTATCTGGTACTTCTTCTTTTAGACAAACATAATTTACTTTTTGAATGAAAAGTCCTGAATAATCCTCTTCAGTCGATATCTGAGAACCAACAACGGGCCCATCACAAGAAGGTGAGAGATTTCTGTCATTATTCTTAAGAACTGTCTTTTCTCACATCTTATTGGCTTTGATTTGGGCTCGTCTGTCTCGACTTGCAAGTTGACCGTCAGACAAATGTTGTTGTTTAACATCTTCTCGCCATTTATTTCTGCCTGTCAATCCGTTTTGATTACGAGTGTTGTGTAGCTTTTCTTATCTGTGACTTTTTAGGCTTAATAAGAAGAAGTCTTCCCCGCATCTACGATGGACTCCTCACGAAAGGCTCCAGTTTGAGCAAGGATATGTGAGTAAAGGCAACCAATAGTGTTGACATTAACAGAAATACTTTACTGAAAGCACTTCAAGCTAGAAGAACCACTTCAAGCTAGAAGATTTGTAAACCTGTAAGGATTACATGGAGTACTTGTGATCGCGTTCATGTAATTTTTATTTGCTGTAGTGGGTCCTGTGTGCACACCCTCACACTTCACCGGTTGCCGGTTTTTATATGTCCAGAGAGGGTCTTTCTAGTCCATGGAGGCTGGCTGCGCATGGTACCCTGACTCAGCCATATGCTACAGCCAGTTGCCGTAGCAAATGTCACCTTGCTGCAGTGCCTCCAGAGAGGGTCTTCCTAGTCCATGGAGGCTGGCTGCGCATGGTACCCTGACTCAGCCATATGCTACAGCCAGTTGCCGTAGCAAATGTCACCTTGCTGCAGTGCCTCCAGAGAGGGTCTTCCTATTCCATGGAGGCTGGCTGCGCATGGTACCCTGACTCAGTCATATGCTGCAGCCGGTTGCCGTAGCAAATGTCACCTTGCTGCAGTGCTTCCAGAGAGGGTCTTCCTATTCCATGGAGGCTGGCTGCGCATGGTACCCTGACTTAGCCATATGCTACGGCCAGTTGCCGTAGCATGTCACCTTGCTGCAGCGCCTTAGAGTGTAGAAAAGATTTCATCATAGCAGACGAAAGTTGTACAATCATTTTGAAATGACTCAAGAGCCAGTGCTTGTGTTGTCAGACTTCTGTTCTGAAAAAGTTACTGTGACATCTCATTATTTTAAAAGGTCCACTTTGTTATTGACAGTTCTCTATTTCTGAACATATTTGTGTGTGTATGCAGAGGAACTACGGTAACCGATGGACTGAGATAGCTCGATTAATCCCCACAAGGAGTCCCCTGCAGGTCAAGAACTACGCCAGGAACTACTTCCCCAAAAAGGTAAAAGTTGCTTCTTGGTTAATGCCAGATCAACCCTGATTCTCAAAAATTTCCTCGAAGGTTGGGGAGTTCTGCAGCCCAGCTGTCGTTACTTAAGATTAGGNCTTGATGCCCCTCCAAAGTGTCACAGGGGTGTAAGAATTCAGTTTTTTTTAGCTGATTTCAGCTTTTTTTGTTCCAATTTTTACTGTTTCAGCTTTTTTACACATCTGCTGTGTACAAAATTATGAGCACTTGTTCTGTTTTAGCTTTGGTTGAATGTGGCCACTCACATCCCCCACTGTCAACCCTGCCACTGGGTTGACAACGGGGGTGGATTTTGGAGGACTGAGGAAGGATCCGAGGAAGTTTATAGAAGAAACAGAGTTAAGCTCTGATTTCCTGGCATTTCAGTGTTATGCATTCCCAGCCAACAACAGTGCTGCTCACCATTGGTGACTGACGAAGAGACATTGGTCAGAGCAACTTTTTTGTTAAGCTTGCCCTCCGTAGACTTTGAGCGGATTGCTTTGGTTTGTTCACCCAGTTCAGCTGCTGTCCCGGGCTTCCTACCAAGTAAGATGTAGAGAGTTTAAAAAGAATATTTGAGGAGAGGAGGCTCTGAGAATGGCCACCTACAAAGTAAAAGCAAATCCCTTCTTGTTTTTCTCTCTGCCTTTGCAGATGAAGTCGCCATCCGATGTGAGTGCCGATGTCCACAGCCAGGATCTGGTAAACAGAGATGGTCCTGATGATGAAGCCAAGATTCACTCCCACCTGCCCGAATCCCTCGACACAGGATCGCCGACCGTCCCAACGAGGCTGCACCCCCCCTGCATGAGGCACGCCCCCTGCACATCGAGGCGCAGGCACTTCCAGAAGTTCGGTTTCGCCAACCTCAGCCCGTCGCGGCTGCTCAAGTCGCGCTCGGGCAAGGACGCGCTGGCCTCCATAAAGATAGCCAAGGAGAGGTCGGTGCAGAGGGCAAAAGCCCCAGCGCCCAAGGGAAGCAGGCCAGACAAGCGGCTGCGCAAAGGGAAACAGGTACATCGAGCCAAGGGTCGGGGGACAAAAGCCAAGGCGAAGGATGAGAGAACGCTGGGTCAAAGCGGACATCTGAGAGACCAGTCCAGGGATGCGACAGAAGGCAGCAGCGCGGGCCTGTTTGAGCAAGGAGGCGGGGTGATCAGGATGAGGCCAGAGGGCTCAGAAGATGAAGATGTAGATGTTGAAGATGACACTGTGGGAGGAGATACGTACCGGGAGAACCTGCTGATGGGTGAGAAATATCTCAGTAGAAACTTGATTTACATCATGAAGATTTGGATGTGTGGTTTGCCCTTTGCCAGTGGAATTTTTTTTTATATACTAAATAATCTATGCTGAAAGCTGGTAAAAAAAATCAATCAAAAAACAATAAAAGCGAAAAATGATTAAAGTTCATAACAAATCCATGCCAGTTTACATGTAGAAAAAATTCAAATTTGTGACAACTTGCATTCAAATTTATTTAAGCCACATATAAAAAAGAACGTTAGGCTTTGAACCCCAAATACCCTGGCACCACCCTATAAAGATTACATTACAATGTGATGGATTCAGGGAACAAGATCAAAAGTTGCTTCCCATTAATTGGTCTGGGTGTGAGGTAGCCCTCTGATCCAATTTGAGCAGAAAAGGTGTTCCCATGTAAAGGTTTCAAGGTGCACTGAGACTTAAGATGCCAATTTCTCTTTCTCAATTTTTATGCCGCTGCATTGCGTCATCATTTCAATATATTTGAACAATGACTGTCTGCGAATTGTAACTGTTTTGTTTTGCCCCACTTGTATCCTCGCCGACTTGCATTTTCACCCCCAAATTCCTTTGAATCTGTACTGTTTTTCATTATCCCTAACCCCCCCTAAGCCCTTTTTGCGAGGGACCCTCCTCAATCCTCCAAAATCTTCCAATTTGGGGGGTGAAAAAATTGGATTCTGCCTCAATCCTTCAAAATCCTCTGGCAATTCCTGTCATTATGTTGAGGCAGTGCGAAGGGCATTCTTGAGCAGTGCGGTTGATTCGAAAGAAACATGGGGCTGAATTTATGCATGACTAAGCAAACAACAACACAAGGTCTAACCCACGACCTTCACTCATAGCATCCTTAGCAATCAGCCATGCACTTTTGCCATTCACCCTCAATCCCCCAAAGTCCTCCAAAACCGCCTGAAGGATTTTGGAGGATTGAGGAGGGTTAGGGTTAAAGATAAATTGTTCATATTCGTTTTCATGTTCAGGTCTTGCAGTCACCTGCGATCGTATCTACAACAATCTCATCACGCCCTCTGGAGACCCAACGGTGTCCGCCACCTTGTCCCTTGATATGGGACAGAAAGATGCCAGTGCAAAGAACAAAGCAAAGACCTTGCCTAACGTCCCCCGTGGGTCAAAGGTAAGAGATCACAAGGTCATTCCTGAAGGGCTCTGCATTCCGGAGCTGGCCTGGAACGCCGATCACACATACAGTATGTCGGTCAGGACGCTGCACAAACTGGGTATTTTGGGAGCAACTTCTAATTCAACTCAAAACATTGGCGAAAGGGCTACCGGATCGTATTGTTCAAGGCAGTTGAGTCAGGGTGCGGTCTTAGACTCTGATAACGAAGCCAAAACATTCATAAAAGAGGAACCAGACGACATTCCAGAGGAGGAGGAAATTTTCCCTCTGAAATCAGAACCAGTGGATTCTCCAGAAGTTCTTCCTCAAGACGGAGAAATCGGCGTAGATTTCAAAACTGAACCCGAAGAAAGCGAAGTAGTGATTTGGAACATGGAACCAACAGAGTGTCATGTGCAGGAGGAACCATGTGATGTGGGTAGCTACAACTCAAGTGCCTTGGGACAAGAAGACGTAGGACAGGTGATGGACATGTGCGAACATATTGAAACCCATTTATCCAAGGAACAGGATGCTGGAACACCCCTCAGTGGAAATTCAGAGGTCCAACCTTCAGATACACCTACGGACAGTTCTGTCCCAGGATCGTACCGGGAGCACGAGTTGGAGGGGTGCGTGAGCTCCGAAGGGAGTAGGGCTGTCCCTCAGCCAGTAACTGTGCCAGCACCCCTTGAAAATAATCCAGGGAACCCAGAAGCAGAGATGGAGAGTGAAGAAGAGACAGGTGGATTGAACCATGAGGATGGAAATAGGGGTGGTATTGAAGATCTAGAGAAAGAAGAGTCTGTCCCCATGCCGGGGGAAGAAGACAGCAACAGTGGCGAAGACAAGAAGCAAGAAGCTGGTGAGTATTTTGTTTTCACAGAAGTCTTATATGACCAGGGTAAAATAGACCAAATAAATAAATGTGACCCACCATCCCAAAACCAGGAAGGAGGTAACTTCACAACCCTAAAATAGTGGAACTTCCACTCTTCAGATTTTCGTGGGAGTTTACTGCTATCACTACTTGTAAGAAGCTTACTGCAGACAGAATTTGGATTTAACATGGATCGCTTTAAAGTGTAAAAAAAACAGCTGAAGGAGAGGAATTGTCCAACATTACAAATACCGACTATAGCCTGGATTTGGGATGGTGGTTCAGAAATAGTTGCGACGGTCACGCCTTGTTCACACCTCCCAGTTTTAGCTAAAACCCAGGCTGTCTGTAAAACTTGTCCTGACAAAATCTTTCCCCGAGAGATATTTAAGAAGAAAAGTTCAGATTGAGTACTCCGTTTTTGTTTCACCGATTTATTAAAATCGACTTTATCGTGATTTGATGCAACGGTGGAAATGTCTGAGTGATCCAAATCCACATCCCGAGGCTGAAATGACGACCTTAGACCCAGGCCAGTGCAGTTGGAGGGGAGGAGGGAAGGAGAGAAATGTTTTGACGGCTACGTTATTCTTCTCAGGGCCATCAAGAGAGTGCCATCTGCAGCTGGACCAGATTGAAGACTGGGAGAAGGGAGCCATGCCGGAGTTCTTTGAAGGCCGACCCGCCAAGACGCCGCAGCGCTACCTCAAGATCAGGAATTACATCTACCAGCTGTGGTATTTCATGTCAATTTGCTTCCTTCTTGAAGTTGTGGACATCACCCCTTTCTGTTTTTGTTATGTGGGTCGTTCCGTGAGGTTGGGGCACAATTTGTGACGGTGCCCTCGTTATCATCCAAAACTTGTACCACCTGTCACGACCTCTAGAGTTAGGTAATTTACTCTGTAAAAATAACACACACCTCTGTATCCAGCCTTGCAAGATGTAAAACAATGTCAATTTGGAATCCACTTGTAGGGAAATAACTGTTTATTTTTATGGAGCCCATGTAACAATTGACACCGTCACAAATTGTGCCCCAACCTCATGGAATGACCCATGTCCCTGTATAATGTACATGTGTATCTAACGGTGGGGAAGTTCTGTTTGACTTTTATTCTGAAAGACCTTCAGGTCTCCAAGACCTTTAGTTGTTTGTTGGGTTCTTTTGAACTCAGCGTGCTTCACACTTTCCTCTCAGTGGATTCTATTGAACAGGCATCATCACAACTTCTGTGTTTTTGGGGATTGTGGCAATTTTACCCACATTTTGTGAGAAAGCTTCCGACAAACCAAAATTTAAGTCAGTAGAGAAAAGATGTTGGTTGATTTGGTTATCCTCCTTTGTCAGGCTGCAGACCAAGCCCAAATACTTGAACAAAGCCGTCGTCCGGCAGGGACTCAAGAACTGTGGAGACGTCAACTCCATCGGTCACATCCATCGCAGCCTGGAGACGGCTGGCGCCATCAACCACGGAGTGGGTGGGTAGCGAAGTTTAAAGGCAGTGGCAAGTGCGCTCATCTAATGTTTTTATGTACTCAGGATCAACTTGCTGCCCTGTCACGGAAAATGTGCATAGGTGTGCTCAGTTGCTATGTTTATCACCGTGAATAGTGTTTACACCCAACTAATTTTTCTGTTTGTTTGGGGTTTTTTTTGTCCATTGATTCAGCTAACCCCCATCGGGCCATCATTGAATGTCGAGCCAGTGCGATACGTCAGCGCTCAACGTCAAAGACCAATGAACCAGAGGCTCCTAGAGAGTCCAAGGTAATCACTTGTCTCTCACGACGATACATCTGTTGGTGAACTGATGGTGTTCCCAATCAGAGCAGGCAGTACACTCAAGGAAAGTATTCTCAAGTGCAAAAACAGCATTTCTTAATTACTTGCATCTTACAGAGACCTCGCAAGAAGAGGATTTTTCATCTGGAGTCCGAAATTGGCCTGCAATCAGAAGAAAAACTGCTCCCAAGGAAGAGTGTCAGGTTGGTTTCCTCCCAAGTCTGCTAGTCCTGGTTAGGGTAACAAGTGCATACTTCACAACTGCATATTAAAAAAAAAAGAGACTTCCAAGGACTTAGTTTTTATCAAAGATCATCTTGCGCCGCGAACCGGCGCAAGATGGTGAACTTCACAGTGAATTCATGTAAAACGTTGTAATCGCATGGGCACCATTTGAGCAAGTGATACGCCTGCGCAATGCACAGTAATGCACAGGCGCTGCAGCAGCCACGTGCACCTGGTGAGCCTGCGCCCAAGCATTACCGTAAAACTGCGCAGGTGTATCGCTTGCTCAAATGGTGCCCATGGTAATTACACCCTTTGGGCAGAGTTATCCATCTTGCGCCTTCGGCGCTATACGATCTATACGATCTGGTTTTTGTGTTGGAAATGTTTCCATTTCAAAGTATATGAACTACAATCCTTTGAGTGGAACATCTTGCTCTCTTTTTCAGTGCGCTCTTTTCATTTTCGCTATTGCTCACTTGCCGTCCATCTGTCCTGCTTTTCAGGTCTGGGACCCGGAAGTCCAAACCCGTGGCCTACGATCCCTTCAAGCTGATTGAATGCTGCAAGTTCACTGAAGAGACAGAGGTATAAGAACCATGGCTTTGAACTGGCCTTGGCGTGTCGACGCAGATGTGCCAAATGCTGGAAACATAGTACTTGAGAATTCCAGAATAATGACACTTTGGCCATTCCGAGAATGATTGACACCATTATCCAGCCGCTCATGCCACATAGGTATCCACAGCATGGTAAAAAAAAACACACTGTGTTCAACAATGTGAAGTAGTCAAACCGTGAATGGGCTTCCTCCATGCCGTCTTTATGTTATGTAACTATTAAGTTATGTAACTATTACGTTATGTAACTATTATGTTATGTAACTGTTATGTTATGTGACTATTATGTTATGTGACTATTATGTTATGTGACTATTATGTTATGTGACTATTATGTTATGTAACTATTATGTTATGTAACCATTATGTTATGTAACTATTATGTTATGTAACCATTATGTTATGTAACTATTATGTTATGTAACCATTATGTTATGTAACTATTATGTTATGTAACTATTTCACGTTTCATTCTTTGTTTTCTCAAATGTTTTCTTCCAGGCTCCGTTTCATGTCCGGATCCAGTCCGATGCAATGGTCATCATGGATGTGGTAAGTCCTGTTCAGGCAACATCTCAAAAAGTTGCAACATTACTGTTCCCACTGTAACACGCCAATACCGAACACGGTGAGTTCCCCTTTGGGAATTTGCCCCGTCCCTGTTGGAAATGAAACGTTTTGTGCAAAAGCAGTGGCTACAGTAAGTAATGTTCTTGTTAGCACGTTCTTAAACATTGAAATGCGCCCTCACCTGTCAAACAGTTCCCATGTGTAAAAATCAAAGAGTCCACATTCTGAGCTACCCTCTGAAGAATCCTTGGTTTCATTGCCGGAATGAAATCAACTGAAATGGAAAACAATTAGCATGCATGGCAATTTCTTTGTGGTCGCCAGCACTCCCACATGTCGTCGACCGAGGTGATTGGCCTGCTGGGAGGCAAGTTCAGCAAGGAGGACAGCATCTTGGATGTTCTGCTTGCCGTTCCCTGCAACAGCATCAGCACAGGCATGCAGTGCGAGATGGATCCAGGTAGGCGAGCAAGACGACAGTTTTATATTCCTTCATCTCCCCGAAAACCAACTTCCTTCTCAAGTTTCCCTTGGCCCGCGACGATCTGAATTTTCTCATCCTCAGTGAAAGTGTGTTGCCATTTTGTTGTAGTTTCCCAGACGGAGGCCTACGAGTCCATCCGAGCCAAGGGCTACCAGGTTGTAGGCTGGTACCACAGCCATCCGGCCTTTGCTGCCAACCCGTCAGTGCGGGACATAGAGACCCAGTCAGGGTTCCAGGTCAGTTGCCCCCCGCAGGTCTCTGGGGACATTCCTGTATTCGAGCCCAAGAGAGGATCGTCACCAGATTTGGTGACCAGTAAATTTCAAGTCAGTTTTGCGAGCGCGCACGCAGTGCGTGAACAAATAACAGCATCATGTGCCATAGTGCATTCGGATAGCTTGGGGTCTTAGCACAGGACTGGATTTCTCGCAATTGACTTGCAATGGCCTCCTCAGTGGCACAACCTTAGAGGGGCCTTAATGATAGAATAATGGAAAGAGTCAATGGTTCTTTGCTTACGTTTATTGTCTGCCTGTGTGGGCAAGTGGGAGGGGGCGGGGCTTGATGTTATCGTGGGGAGGGGGATGCCCAATTTCTGTTAAGGGTTTGTTAATCCTGTTCACTGATAGTATTACCATTAACTTTACAATCAAATCTGGCAATCAGTATTGAAAGTCATTACAGTGGTTGCGCCATGCTTTCAAGCGGGTGATCCCCACATGTTGAATACCTGTTCCACCAATGGGGTGTTATAGTTTTCCAGATGGGATGCATGCCTGAAGTCGACCGACTGGCTGCAGTCATGAAGTCTCAACAGCTTCGTGTATTAAGTGATGCCTTTTTAACACACTGTGCCATAAAACTTGGCCTGGTGCTCCATGTACTTCGGTTCACTCCATACCCAACGTCCCGTTCGATGAGTGATTGTTTGTCTGGACTACGTTTGTTCCCTCCAGGGTTGGTTCAGTCAAGGCGGAGCGCCATTCATCGGAATCATCATCAGCCCCTGCCACAACTATCAGGTCTCGCAGTCCAAGGTCTGCTGTCTGACCGTCAGCAAGGATTGGTCACCAGAACTCAAATGCAGTGAGTACATGAGCTCCCTGAACATCAAAGGCGCCAAATTGAAATAGAAGTGCTGGAGAGGATTCTCGATGTTTGGATGAGGAGTCGTGTCAAAGAGTGGGCTCCCCTGGGGTGGCATTTTGGTGATGGGTGGTGGGAGGGGAGGCACCTGTGAGCTCAAACCTGTCAAAGTCGCTCTGAAAGCAAACAAACTGCTGTTTTCATATAAGTTGTGGTTATCTGAAGATTTCAAAGGGGGAGTTTGAAGGGGGGCCACAGACATCCCCCCTTTCATTACACTGACACTACATGCCAAGTCTGAGAGGGGGTGTATTGGGCGAGTTCAAACATTCAGTGAGTGGTAATCCACTGGACTTAACTGTTTTACTCACTTTACTCACGTACTTCTCACTTCTTTGTCTTTTTTGAATTTCTAATCAGTTTATGTTTTTGTTTTCCTAACTGTGTTGCACCATGGGCATCTCTCGAGGCAGAAACCGGCATGCTATAAATATTCATTATTATTATTATGTAGGTGAAGTGTCATATTGTCCTTTGTTCTCTTCTAGGCAGCTGCATGATTTTTTTTGTATTCGGGGAAACAAGTTGTCAGTGGCAGATTTCAAATTGGAAGAAGGGGGGGTGGAGTGGGACAATGAGGGAGGCGGCACAAATGCAAGAGGGGGACTGTTTGGGTAGTGCCAACTGCGTCCGGAATTTGCCAAAGTAGTGCAGCGAGCATGGTGCTTTCGGATGACTGAAAATCAGCAGCCTAGTCGACTCAGAGAGTCTGGGTACCATCTGGAACGACTTGATACCACGCAAATGTGGCATCAAAGTAAAATGAAACCTTAGCAACCTTACTGTTTTTTATGTGTGCACCAGGAAAGCCGTATCAGTTTGACTTCACCATCTCCCACAGCCACTGCGATGACGTCCTCACGATGAACACCATTTCCAGCGTGGTGACCAAGTTTGCCATCTACAAGCAGTGAGTTTTCCTTCCATTGTCGCGCTCATCGCTACAACGTTATCTATAGGCCACGGAAAAGTACACTATGCTGCTAGGTGAAAAAAGGTTGCCAGCCAAAATGGCGCTTGATGCACATTCCCAGTGACTGGTCCTCAGCCAACTTCTGCTCAGCACATAAAGTGACTAAGCAGTATTTTCTGCCTACAAGTTGCACGAAATGCAACGTTAACACAGAAATGCACCGAGCACGGAAACATTTTTCTAATCAAAAATTGGCCGCCAGCATGACAAGCCGTGCGAACTGACTCTTGTTCAGAACACGAATATACTTAGTAGCACCTCAGCTCAGCATCTTCACAAAATCCAGCCCTAGTTACACAACCGATTTTTGAATTGTTCACTCGGTGATGTCATGAAATCAGTCCAAATACCACTAACAGATTGCTGATTGCCTGGTGCCGTGTTCATTAAGCTCTCGTGTTTTGTTCTCAAAATTTGGTCTGAATTTTTACTTGAGAGTTCACGTGGAATATGACTGTTTCTCTTCCATGTAGCCGTTCTGAGATGCTGTGCTTGTGGTCCAAGTTTTATGACATCTCTTTCCTGGAAAAGGTGAGTTTCAACTTTGTAAGGGATCAACGCTAACAATTAGTTAAATCTGCAGGGCATTTGAAATGGTACTGGAATCTCGTATCACTTACATTATTAAATTCTGACAATATTTGAATCCCAAAGCTTCTTCACAATATGAGTTTTCCCTGCAAGTGTTGAGTTTACCTAGGGCCATGCTGCCACAAAGACCCACCGTGAGAACAGTCCTACATCCCCACCATCAAGGTTTCCTTTGCGCGGTGGATTGGTCGGGGTACAAAACATTGGATCAATTTCAGATGGGCATTGAGTGGATCTCGGTGCAGGGGTTCATTTCAGCTCATGCATGGCTAATTTTTCTTTTATCTCTGTATCCTCCTTAGATGCTGCTGTCCATAAAGACCTACATGTGTCCCAATCAGCAGGAGGATTTACTGAGGCAGATCAAAGATTTCATTACCGCGGAGTTCACCACCAAAACTGCAGCTACCATCAAGGAGGAAAACGACAGTTGAAGTAAGCCGTCTGATCACTAGTCCCATCCAACTGGTTGCCTCCTGGCTTTCCTTTAGTCCCAAGCCAGGTTAAATCTCCATCGTCTGATTGGTGGATCCTTGGTCACGTCTTGACTTATTCATCCCAGTGGATAGAGCAGCTGCATCTCAAAAATGGAATGTTCCATTTTGCAGGAAAACAGATTGCTCTATGTTCCATCCATCCATTGGCTCAGTCACACTGTTGCTGGTGCTAAAAATCAGTGGGCTCTTCACGCACAATGACAATAAACCTGACACACCATTTTGCACTTTGGAGCCATCCTGATCAAGCCATCCGGATCTCGCTAGTACAATGTAACATGCTGTGTGATGAGTTTGTAAAACACTCAGGACCAACTGAAGCATTGACCAATTCAGAACAGGACCCCTCGTACCTTGTGAATTTGTGCGGGACTGAAAACGGAAAACAGCCAGTTGTCCAAAGAGAGGATTTATTGAGGCACTGTATGAAACAATGTTTCACATTTGGGCAGGGGAAAGAATCATTTCGTTCCATTCTGCTCAGCTTTGCCCCGTGGAATGGAACGTTCCATCTGCTACTTCATGACATCATTCCTACGGTTGCAGGCATAAACTTTCATTCATACCAAACCAAGCTTCCTTTCGCGTCAACCGAGGGAGTCTGCACCAAAAAAAACACATGTTTCAGGATTGCAGCTGGGACCTTTTTTGTAGCTTTGGTGACCAGTGTCAGATAGGTGAAGTGAACATTATGCCTGGTGATCGGGTAATCGTTTTTCCTGCTTATTGTGATAAACAGAGCTGATGCTTCATTGGAAGTGCCATTTTTTTATTTTTACAATTCTTGGTCCGTTTTCGCCAACGCTCAGTGAACTTGAAAGATGATGGACAGGCAAACCCACAAAGGTAGTTTTGCTGTGGTTGGGTGTTTAGGATGTTGGACTCTAAAATCAGTGGGAGCAGAGTTACACTCTGCCAGAATCAGGGCAATCACGGGAGTGCCAGATTTATAATTGCAACGGGTAAAAATTCCTGTGCTCCGATGACTTTCAGTGGCACTGCCATCGTCTTATCGCCTGCTGGTGTCTTGAATGGTGTCTTGTTGCCAAATCTACCAGTGTGTGCAGGCAACCCATAGCACTTGTATCTCTGACGTGCTTGAAGGAGGGTTGGAGGTACACGCACGGGAGACATTAAGCCCCAAGGAAAGCACCACTGGGTTGGCTCCTGTGTGCATTGGGAAGAACATGGGACGGTCAGAGGGGTATTGAAAGCTTAATATTACATTCTCTATGAAGTTCTCCCCTCCAAGTAAGTTGACTTTGGCCAACAGAGGGCGCTAGTCCACTGGACCAGCTGTACAAACAAAGCTCATGCCATCCCTTGCAGGTGGACATTTTCACTCCAAGGTCAGCGAACAAAGAAGTGGCCCAGCACCGAAATAAACTTTTCGCCATTTTCTCTCCATTGTTTTGCAAAGTGAAAGACCTTCTTTCACCGTGCCATAGTTTAATCAGTTATAAAGAGTAAATCTACATACAATGCTTCACTACTTGACCGTGTTTCTACCCATTGTGTCGGTTTTATTTCCCTTAGCAAGCAGGTGAATACTTAAATTGAAATAAGAGCTCTTTCATTCAGATTTGTATCTCTGCAGGTTACAAAGTGTCCTTTTCTTCAAAGCAAAGTTGGGATGTTTTGGAAACTGCAGAATTTTGCGTGGTCTATTTTTCCCCCGAGAAATTTATCTGTCGTATTTGCCAATTTTTGTTTTCATTGTTTTGTTTTGCTATGATGGGGCAGTGTCGACACCACATTTGGAGAACATAGAATTCGTCTACATAATGTTCGTTTGTAATGTCAGTGATCAGAGTAAATTAGCATGGAGCATCACTGCCATATGGTGTAGAGCACATTTTTAACTCACCTTGTTCCGTTTATTTTTATATCACAGTTTGTAAATAATATTAAATATGTAAATTGAAATTGCACAAAGAAATAAAATTAACCTAATTTAGTCACAGGTTAAGACATTTGAATGCGGGTCCAATCTTTTATAAACTTCCATGGTAAATCCTTGTAAGCAATTTCTTTTCATTTATATAGCAAAGATTTGGAAAATCTTATTTCCCTGTACATAAAATTTAATCTGAACCCGACATTTGATTCTTACTCAGAAGTCAACCGATAATTTTATCAAAAATGTTTTCTCAGGTTTTTTTTGTGTCAGTACCCACTGCAATGTCTACAGTTTCATTCAAAATCTACTTGCATTTATCCGGATTACATGTGTGCTTTCTGATAACACTTTTCTTATTCCTAAGATAGTCCCTTGTTTCCATGCAACATTCGAGTTTCTCCCACTCGATGGCTCAGCGCAGACAAAGCGGCAGTCATCTGGTGTCTAGACACCTATGGACGGGACGGTTGAAAAGTAGGGCTCTGAATCTCCTAAAACCTTTGGATTTGTTCAAGAGGAGTAGATGTTAAACCTTTTGAAAGAGAGACAAGTTTTTATTACCTATGGGATCCTATTAGGCGACCCATTAAAACTCCAAAGTAATTTGAACTAGACCTGACCTCGGTTTCACAGCCACAAATTTTTCAAGAGGGATATCAGAATTTAGAACTGCACCGAGTGTTGTGATTTTTGGGGTTCTTCCATTCCAACATAACTGTCAATGAATGGTGCATGGTTGGCAACCTGTGCTGTTGGTAGTCCAGTCGTGGGCCCAGGAAAGCCAGCAGCATTTAGGTGGTAACCACCCGTGCCTATAAGCCAGGTCTAACTTACATGTAGTCTTGGTTCCAAGGCTCCTGTGCTTTTCTTTTTACTTTCCTCCTTTCCTTCCCTTGTGGAAAAATGAACATTCATTTTGATCGATTCCTCAACTGTACAATAAGCCCATCATCCTGTACATTGAACCCTTTGTTGGTGCTGCAGTGCGGATTTGTCCGCGGGTGACAAATATCAAGAAGTAATGCCTTGGGCAAAGACCAAGAGTGACTGTGTTTAGCTTTAGTGATCAACATCACTGTATGTGTATTTGACAAGTCTAGGAATTGGCCCTCCTTCGCATGGCGTCTCGGCGGACTACCAGTGGACTGATCGTTACTCATGATCCATAATTATAGGCCTATGTGTACAGGATTCAGTATTTAAACTGATTGGCTGTCAGTTAAAGGCAGTTGTTCTTCCAAACCACTTGCAATCTCTTCTGAAGTCATGAAGAAAATCAGCGGAAGATTGGATTCGCTTAGATTAGAGGGACAGGGTCATACTCCATACCCTTTTGATTTTGAAAATTATGGTAATCCATGATAGAAGACAGGATTTTTATGGAATGTTTTTTCGTGAACATTTTGTATAGTTCACTGGGGAATGACTACTACAAAATAAGTAAATGCTGAAAAAAATATCAAAACTGTTGCTTGGAGATGTCAATAATGGAGAGACTTCATGGTCGCCTTGATCAGAATTTGGCATGGGGGTTACTGACAGGGATCAGGTGACATTACTGCCACAGTTTTCGCAAAAAAAAGCTACAACATTCACTCTTAGTCCTTCTAATATCAAGTTAGACTAGGGCCAAGTCAATTCGAATAATTCACTATTCAAATATTCAACCTTCAATCTGATCGAATATCCGAATATTTTCGGTCGTACCCACCGGCAGATTGTTGATGAACAAACCATATACAACATCAGTTGCATTAAAACGCATATTTATACATTATGATCAATATAATAGGTTCTCACAGAAGTGTTTCCAGCCACGATTTAGCAAGATTTAAGAGATGAACAAGACATATAGCCCTGTTGAAAATTTCTATTCCTTTTTAATTGTTTAATGAATAATTTACTTTTAAAATCATTAAGATTTCTGACGCTTTTCATTTGAATCTGCTTGAAACAAGCCTTCATGGTGCAATGTTTCTCATTTAAAACAAAACAAACTTTCCCTTAATTTTATGAATTTTGCATTCAAATATTCAAACTCGAAAACTAATATTTGAATATTGGACAATCGATCAAATATTCGATTATTCAGCACAGTCACAAGTGTAATGAGGCCAAGCGCATCTGCGGTTTGACAATGGCATGCTATCAGCCAATGGTCCAAAATGGAATTTGGTTGGTCAGCTGTTTCAGCAAGAGCGTTATTAATCTCTGCCAGGAGCAAAGGCGACACGATCACCCGATTCTCTTATAGCCCTTGGTAAAGATCGCTGATAGGGAAGTACTGATTGCACCGCCGGGCTGAATTTGTCCTAGCGGGGGAATATACCTCGCTGGCTGTATGCAAGACAGATCGAGGCTTGATTGTCTCACCTTGATTATCCCTGCAAGTCACGTAGCAGTCTTGGAGAGTGAACCTTTGATCAAACAGTTGTTAGCAGAAGGAATGGCATTGTTTCCAGGGTCACTGTGTTATGCAATGAGGTTGCATCATACTGGTGATAGAAAAACCACCGCAGGGGGGTGTTGTTGATTTAAGCTGCAGAAATTACTGGATATTCTTGAAAGTGAAGTGGGAACAGGGGCGGTTTCTTAAGTTAACAGCAAAACATAAGGCCTGAAGTTGATTCAAGGTGTTCCTCCACTTTCTGATTGGTCAGTTCCAATCTAGACATAACTTCTTGGAGACAGGTGAATAACATGGGTACTGTCTTGTGCAGCTTGGGTCAAAGTTCATTTAAACTGCTTAGCATGTTTATTAGGTACACAAGCAAAAGGTCAGACGGGAACCAGTCACTCATTTATGCAATTAATGGTATTTGGGTAGTTAAGCAGATTTTATTGAGGAAATGTCTTTTTGCTAAGCAAATTTCATCGCCGCTTTTTTAAATGGCCCCCTGGGTCTAAAAGAGAGGGCTTAAGATTTGAAAACAAAAACTGAATTCAAAAGCAGATCACTGATATCATTCCAATCATGGACACCAGGACAAATCGGCATAGCAGACAGTAACCACAGGGGAAAAAATTCCTTCTGCAAATGCACAAGCAAGACTGGACTAATGGTACATGTTTACCATGTTCCATATTGAAACCAGCACAGGCATTGCCTGGTAAAATGTCCTTCCTCCATGGCCTTGATCAATAACCCTGGAAAACCCTTGAACAATGCCAGTACAAAACGGTGCAACTGGAACAGGAAGATCATCTGTGCTTGAATATTTGCAATGTAATGTTTTAACGATGTGATGTTTTCGGCACCGCTGTTTTCAAGATTCCTCACAATGTCATCATCCCTATCAGGCCCCAGATTTGTGCAGAAGGAAACAATGGCCCTAAAGTCGAACCCTTTTATTAATCAGCGACACCTCAACCCCCCCCCCAATAGACAATCGCACTGCCATAACGACTTTAAACCTTTGGAGTGAGCTGAAGTTGTTTTTCCTCAGTATTATAGATAGTAACGAGATCTACATACTTGTATTGGAATTTGACATTTCTAATGATACTAGCACATGTGTACATGAAAAACAAGTGTTGCTCAACACACGACAAGACAATTATCATCTCGATAACAATCTAGTGACGTACAATCTTAAGGGCCCATGACATGGAATGCTATTCAATGCAGTTCTGGTAAATACTTGTTTGTTTCTCGTTCAACCTGTTCTTCATTGTGCCATTTTAGTGATATTTTGATGTCGTTTCATTTGTATGCTAATGTGAATCTGCATATTTATGAGCAAAGGTGATATAGACATGCATTCCTTGGTAAAATTCACACCACAGACTCTTTTTGGAGTAAGGCACCTGATGAACTTTCTGTCCATTATAAAACACTGTAAAAATTCCACACAGCAGTTTCATTTCCATTCGGAAAACTGACACATGTACAAGTGATGCCAAGGACCACCCAGTCCAGTTGTCTGAAGAGTTTTCTTGAATTTAAGCTGGCACTTACATATTTTATACATGTAGGTACTAAAACACGAGAAAGCTCCGAGTTTACCCATTCAAAGTTGCACAGAGATATAGAAACAGTTCACTTTCTCATTTGGAACTGAATGCAACATAAGTGACGCTAATTAATTATTGAGAATTTCCTGGAGAACATTGTGCAAAATAGTACCCGAATGTGTCACATTTCATGAGATCATTAAGGAAGGAAGCATGATTAGATCGAGGAAAAATTTCACTAGACATTTTTGACACAGCATCTGTGCCTGGATAGATAATGTTGCACAATATCTCTGTCCTGTTGGCAAACATTAGTCAGTGCTGGCCTTTCCCGACCTGTGCGCTGGCATTGTGTATGCCGGCATTCATCGAAAAGTTTGCTTCCCTCTCTGCCAGTGCTGGCAACCTTGACACCATGCCATGCCCCTGGTGCTCACTGGCAAACAGCTGGCTGCAGAAACTGGCAAATTGCCCTAGATGGAAGCTGGGAAGTCGTTGATCTCCGACTATAAACCTGGGCATGGATTTTGTACATGCGGGAATATCACGCCTTCTGTCCACTTCGTGCACTTAAAGTCCACAGTACCAATGTTTCCTGTTTACAGAGTTTCATACCTACATGTATATGGGAAAGAAATCTCAGAAGAAACCTAGAAAGATTCATTCCTGGGATCTCAGAAGTGATCCTAATCCTGTAATGTATATGGGATTGGAATGCAAGTGTACATTCAATTATGACCATACACAGTGTATTATGCTGCATTAATGATTTTTACATCTTTGGCACAACGTGTACTGCAGATTGGGCATAAAAACTTATCTTACAATCAATTTGTTGTGCGTCATCTGATTCTCATCATAACTTTTTATTGAACTCAAGGTGCATGTGTCGCTACCCAGCCAGAACTGGTGCAAAAAAATGTATCACATACTTTGTACATGACAAGTTCAACAAACTTTTCATCGCAATCCCACTGGTCCCAGTTGTGATTTAGACGAGTTCACTAAATTCCGGTGCGGGACGAGGTAATGCTCTTTGTTGACGGCTGTCCAGTACATGTATTTATTCAGACAGTGTATTTTAAGTGTGCCTGGGCATTGGGCAGGCATCTTCAAGCCCAGGAAGCTTGGATTTACAGCTTGCTCCTTGGCAGGTCACCACTGAATGAAGAAGGAATCTCCTATGATGCCCTACTGATTAACCCTAACCCTCCTCAATCCTTCACCTGTTGGAGGACTGAGGAGGGTTAGGGTTAAAGGGAAATGCTCACCAACTTGAATGATATGGACAAGGCTTAACTTAAACAAAAATTAATGTGATGACCTCCAATTTCCAAACTTTTCGTCTAGCAGATTCAGCTGGCCATGTCCTGCCATCACCTTACTTTTCAGAATTGCATACTCTAGGACAAAAAAACACCTGTCAATTGGGATTAATCTCTTTCAATCATATCAAGTTGAAGTGTGCATTTTTAAACTTGAAATTCACCTTATCCATATCCAGAAATCTGGGCATGCCAAATATGCACAGGTTGCTAAGTTCACTTTAACTCTATAATTCATACAGTGCATGGTAAAACCAGAATTACTCTACTCAAAAAAGTGAACTTTTACTTGTTAATTTTTTCCAAGCAATGAGTGGGGTCTAGTTCTTTCATTTTTTGT